ATGATCTCTCTCTCTCTCTCTCTCTCTCTCTCTCTCTATGTGTGTGTGTGTGTGTGTGTGTGTGTGTGTGTGTGTGTTTAATTTTTTTATTTATTTATTTTTTGTTAAGGTTTGCATAACAACTTTTTTTTTGTTAAGGCTTTCTCAGATCTAATTTTTTATTTTTTTTGTTAGGGTCTTCTGATCTGAACAGATCGTGGATCGTGAATCATGAAGCCACCAATCTTAACTGATCGAGGTCCGATCGATGCCTAGATCAATGGACAGATCGTGAAGCCCTCTATATATATATATCTGTTGATGATCAAATTTTTTGAACAGATCTGTCTGTCGTCCATTATATAATTTTTTTTTTATGATCAAATTTGTTGTTGATTGATGATTGTTGATCTGAACAGTTGTTGTTGTTGTGTGTGTGTTGAACAGATCTGTCTATTGTCCATTGTACATATATTTTTTTTTTTTGTGCGTTGAACAGATCTGTCGGGGCTGTTTCGGGGTCGGGGAAACCCGATCCCCGTTAGGGGACGGGGGCGGGGAGGTGGTGGGTTCCTCACTGGGGATCGGAGGCGGGGACGGAGATTTTTTTACCTTCGGAGATCGGAGACGGAGAGTGTAATCCGTAGTCCCACCCCGGCCCATTGCCATTCTTAAGAGAGAAGAGTGAGGTTTGAATTTATTTATTTATTTTTATTTTTTTAACCGTATAACATATATATACCGAGTGATAGTTTAGTTATTTTACAGGAACTTGTTCTTATGAACAAAATAATTTAAACTGTGGACTTTTGAATAAAAAAATTTAAAATTAAATTTATTGACCGGATACTCATATTATTAATATTATTATTCTTTTGAAGTTTCATTTTTAACATCTTCACGTTATGGTTACTTTTATTATGTAGATGCCTTAGAATTTTAGCAATTTAGGTTTTTTTTTTTTTTTTTTTTTTTTTTTTTCTATCTAACCCTCCGAATTTTCTGAAAAATGTTTTTTATATTTTCTGATGCTTGGTACAATGGAAAGTAAAAGTTAACTGAAAATATTTTTCATGATTAACAGAAAACAAGCCTATATGGGTAAAAAATATTTTTTACTTGTAAAAAGCAAAAAACATTTTCCAGATTAAAATCTTACCAATGTCACCACACTCCACCGTCATTCTCACTTCTACCACCCCACCACCATTGCCACGGCCACTTCACTGTCGCTGCCGACCCACTACCAGGCCACCACCTCCACCATCGTTTCACCACCACCACCACACATAAAAAAATATTTTCTTTAAAAAATATTTTTTAAAAAATGTTTTTCGTAAAAAAAGTTTTTCATTTGAAAATATTTTTCACTTAAACAAACAGGAGCGTAACTAATCCATATATCTTCTTCCTCAACTTGCTTGGTTACCGTAGAAAGATTCATTAGCAGTAGTTGTGTTGCGAGCGAGTATTGATTCACCTTCTTGCTTCTTTCCTCCCGAGCTTGATTTGTGAACCTATTTCTTTTGTTGCTTGTTTGTTCCTTTTTTAGACCTTTCACTAGCAAGCTTTTTACTAGTTGCTATCCTCAGAATAAAAAGGTCTTCCCGCTGTTTTGCTTTTGTATCACTTCGTGAGCTTTAGGAAGAACACCCATGTCTGAGAAAAGTTCTGTTGTCATCCAATTCTAAGGCTCATGCCCACATAAACAGAAGCTTGAGAATAGGGAATGGCGCGTTTAGATATTTCATTTTATTTGAGGGTATCATGCTAATGAAGAAAAGCAATATCGTTATGCACCACTTTATGTCTGGAACAAAAATGACAACCCAACTATAAAATGACACATGACATAGGTGATCTGGGTGATGAGTGACTATAGTAAATGTAGCCAAGCTGGTGTGGAATTTGACCAAATTATAAGGAAGGTGATATGATTATAACGATCACATCATTCTCCCTATTAATTAGCGGAGTGATTCGCAGGTGTTATTATCAATCCATCTATTATTTTGTATCTTCTATTTTTTTTTGAATTCTTACTTATAAATTTTGAAATCTAAAAAAAAAAAAAAAAAAAAAAATTCTTTCCTAACATAATATCAAGATTATCCTTGTAAAAATATTCTACCCATTCAATTGAATGCACACTTCCACACCTAAAAAAAAAACCTCTTTCAAAAACCTTAACAAAACCCACGAAGAATAAGAAGAATAAAATGTGATTACTGTCTCTACTCTCTCTCTCCGCCGTCTCATCCTTTTTTTTGGTGATTAATGTTCGGTTATTGGTTCCTGAACAAATAATAAATGTTTGGTTATTGGTTCCCGAACAAATAAACAATGTTCGGACCTGTATTTTTGGATTTCAGTCATATGTTCGAGAGTCCAGTCCCGAAAAAATGACGAGCATATTTTTATTATTTTTGCCATTATTTTAAGAAAATTATCCTTACAAAGCCAATCTTTTCTAAGCTAAGAACAACATCAAAGTTATGAACTTCTTCTGAACTTTTATTGTGGTACTCCTCTCGTTTCATAGAGTTGTGGTTGCCAAAAAAACTTCCACTCATTATCATTAAGAAGTGTGGGTAATCAAATGGTTACTACTGTTATCGCCAAAATATTGTCGCCAAAAGATTTTTAAGGTTTTGAGGGTGTGTAAGTGTTGAAGGTGAGATTTGGGAAAGATGAATGAGTGGTGATGGAGGTGAGTGCTCGCACAAATCCTAATTCATGATGTAATGGTGCGTGTGTTTAATTGTGAGATGAGGTGTTTCAAAATTAATAATATCATTTTTAATAATTTTATTTGAAATTATTATTATAATAAAAAAATTAAAAATTAAAGAGTCTAAAATAATTCATAAAGTGCTAATAGTATCACTCATTCTCAATACATCATAATGAAGGACAACCATTCCTATGGGGGTTTGGATCATTTCCCCTTTGAAACGAAAATACTTGAGACCCCACCATTTTTGACCCCTACAACTCCTAATTGATTTGTGACTACATATCATATTTTTTCTTTTTCTTTTTTTTTCTCCACTCTCTCCTCCCCTCTCTCACAAATGTGTGGGGGTGCTAGGGTCTGGATCATTTCCCTGTAAATATTTCAAAAATGAGAAATGATCCAGACCCCTAGGACGCCCAGCACCCCCACACATTTGTGAGAGAGGAGAGGAGAAAGAGTGGAGAAAAGAAAAAAAAAATATAATGTGTGGCCACAAATCAATTGAGGGTTGTGGGGGTAAAAAAATGGTGGCGGTCTCAAGTATTTTCCTTTCAAAAAGGAAATGATACAGACCCCAGCACCCCCACACATTTGTGAGAGAGGGGAGGAGAGAGAGTGGAGAAAAAAGAAATATAATATGTAGCCACAAATCAATTAGGACTTGTGAGGGTCAAAAATGATGAGGGTCTCAACTATTTTTCGTATTTGGACAACTACGCTATTAAGGGGCAAGTGGCACTACAAGAGGCGTTCTAGCAAAGCAATAACCAAAAGCAGTTGACGAAAATGAAGAGGTGTACCCAAATGGTTTGGAAGTCAAGCAACTATACAAATGGCAATTCAAGACGAGAAAAGGTCCCAATCAATCACTCGGCAACTCAGGCAATTACTTGGCCAAATTTAACTCAGGACTCGGTGTCTTCCATCTTAGTTCGCCAGTAGCTTCATTAGTTTACTGGAATTTTCCTTCTCGCTTCCAAGTTAGCTTAGGCTTGGTTTGGGAAATGGGTTGGCTTTTTAACTATTTGACTTTTTGACTTTTTTAGTTATTTTAACTTGAGATTAAAAAGCCTAGTTTAAGAAGGGTCTTTATTTTTTTTTAACTTTTTTGACTTTTTTGTAAGAGAAAGAATGTAATGAATATAGATTTAATGTGATGTTTTATCTTATTGGAGCTAAAAACCTATTTTATTTTTTTATAACTATTTTACCTCCAAGCCCACTTCCGAAACAATGCCTTAGTTATCTCCAAAATTATTGTATTTCAATGTGTTTGAGTGCAACAAAGTTCTTGTTTTTTCCTATACGTGTTGTGTTCATACTTGCTGTGTTCTCTTTCATCTTCAAACGCCCAGGAGATTTGAAGTCTATCTTCATTGAGCCAACAAAAAAATTAGAAGGTTTTTAATCCCAACAATGTTAGGTATTATGAAAAATATTTCATGAAAATAATCATGAAAATTTTGTGATCTTTGGATTACACTTAGAATAAAGCACCATACACTAATTAAGGTAATTCAAGAATTATAACTCTTTCATGATCATTTTCATGAAATTTTTTTTATAATCCCTAACTTTGCTCTTTTAAACCCTTAAACCTCCCACATTCTAGTCGGAAGATTTTCACACTTCGACAGACAATACTTTGTCCTGACACATCCACACAAGCTCCTGTAGCTTCTATTTCCGGTCTTCCTTCGCACCCCATAACGGACCGCCATGATCAGATTTGATTGACACATTGTTTTGCGGGCCTCAAGCATTCACCAATCAAAAGCCAACCACCTTCATTAGTTCGGTGTGAAAATTAAACTTGGACATATCAAATGCATGTGTGCATACTTGACAGAACAAAGTAAAGAACTGAATTCCAAACATCCACATAAAAGCGTATTTGAACAAATCTGGGACCACACTTAAAGTCTCCGAATCTACTCAGAATGTGTAATTGAAATTAAATTTGTGTAGTATAAAATTCATATGAAGAATAAATTTGAACCGTTACATGATAGTTCTAAATAATTAACTCTGGATTTATAGTATTACTGAGCATATTTTATGATAATGAGGTGACTCAATTAGGGTATGAATTAAGGATTTTACTTCTAAAATTGTCAGCTTTTACGTCTCAAAACCAGACAAACCCACAAAAAGACAAATAAGAAGACATCAATCACAATGAGAAATTTGTCCTTGTGATTTCAAAATTTAAAGAATGTAACAAGTACAGAGTATATAAAGGGTTCCATCATCCAAATGTTTATCATATGGGGCACAGGCTTTCTACATTTATGTAGAGGTATATTAAGTCATTTGAATTTATATACAATACAAGTCCTTTGAATTTATTCTAGTATTATATTAGGAACCATAATACAGAAGAGGTGTAGAGCCAGTCGGCCACCAAACTGGCAAGTCAATCAAATACACATATTAGGAAAAAAGGAAAAAATAAAATAAAAATGAAAAAGATTAAGGAAAGAAAAGAAAAGCTTTACACCATCCGACAAGGAGAGATGTTGCATAGCTCCTTGGCCTATAGCCACTATCATCTGTTCTGAAATCCTAGTTTCTTTTTCTTCACATACAAATATGGATCTTTTCGACATTGAAATATACAACTCGAATTGTTTATAAAGCTCAAGTTGTAATTTTTTTAAGGCCCTCGGTACTTGCGGAAGCAGAGACAACCTTGATTCTGATCAAGAGGAATCATTCCTCCGCCTTTTGACGTGTCAATGGCCTCTAACATGGAGACGACCTCGTCCATCTCTGGCCTTTTGTCGGGGTTTGCATCCCAGCACCGTTTCATTACGTTTGCCAGAGAACCCGGACAACACCTTGGTATCTCTGGTCTCAGATTCTATGCATGAAATTCTAATGATTATCTAGATGGACAATAAAAATATAAAATTTTTATGCATTAAAATTAAGTCAAAATGGTTGAATTAGGAAGGCATACCTGGCGGACCACAGCTGAAGTCACTTCCGAGAAACTAAGGTCTGGGTATGGCATGTCGCAGCAATACATCTCCCACAAACAGATGCCAAAACTGTACACATCGCATTTCCTATTGTAGGGGCTGCCATTGAGAACCTGTAATTTTCACGCAGCTAACCACTTGGTGGACAATTCAAGTGTAATAGAAATGCCTTTCTTTCTTTCCTTATTTGTTTTTTTATTTTTTTCATTTTCGTGAACATTTAAATTTAAATAGTGGTTATAGTTTATTCATTTCTTTCCTTATTTATGAACATTTAAATTTAAATAATAAAAAATAAAAGTTTCAGAGGCAGTGGCTTATAACAGTGGTTTTCTAAGCCCTTTTTAAAAAATAGTTTTCCTTCTAAGGGCTTGAGAAGTCAAAACAGCCAACCACCATACTAGATAAAACAAGGTTTATGTTGTACGATTTTGATTAGGAAAAACTTTTTTTTTTTTTTTTTTTGTTTTGGACAATTTATGCATAATGAAAATCGTGAGGAACTGCCACGAGCTAAAACCTAGGGCTGTGTTTGGATCATAAATTTAGATAGAGATTTGAAAAGAAAAGAAAAAAGATAAGATAAGATAAGAGAAGAGAAATGTGAATAAAATATAAGCTAATTTTTTTTCTCTTTTTACAGAGGCAGTGACTTCACTTCATCCAACTATTAAGGCCAAGTTTGGGAAGTCTCAATAAAGCCAAAAAGCCAAAAAGTTACTCAAAAAGTTAAAAAGCAATCACTATTCACCAAAAGTCAACAATTACGGCTGCACAACTCCCAATTTTAATTTTCCCCTACAAACCAATTTTTATAATTTTTTATTACACATTTTTTTTCATAAAAAGTCAAAAAGTTAACCCAAACATTCATATTTTCAACCTCCACTTTTTAGTCTAAAAAGACAAAAAGTGTACTTATTTAGGACACCCCAAACAACCCCTAAATGCACATTTCAACATGTCAACACACATGCATCATCTCCTAGAAAAATATTTTTTTTTTGTTTTTTTTTTTTTGTTTTGGATAATTTATGCATAATGAAAATCGTGAGGAACTGCCACGAGCTAAAACCTAGGGCTGTGTTTGGATCATAAATTTAGATATAGATTTGAAAAGAAAGAAAAAGGATAAGAGAAGAGAAGAGAAATGTGAATAAAATATAAGCTAATTTTTTTTCTCTATTTTCCTGTTGTTATATTTCCCTTTCAAAATCTCTACCTAAATCCATAATCCAAGCACAGCGTAAGTGTAGTTTTTGAGTATCATTTCTACTAAAAAAGAATGGGCTCTATACCTCAGGAGCCATGTAACCAAGAGTCCCGGTTTCCCCAGTCATGTCACTAGGATTTGAGGCCTCAACTCGAGCAACTCCAAAGTCAGCAATTTTTACCGTGCGAGTCTTGTCTAATAGCATATTCTCTGTCTTTACATCTCTGTGAACAATCTTCTGTGAGTGGAGGTAACTCAGCCTACAAAATTTAAACAGGTTGGCTTTCTTAGAACTTAGCTACACAAAATCACAGGTTACATGTCACTATTGAACCTTCAGACATTCAACATGATACAGAAATTAAATATCATAATAAGAAAAGAGAACACATATACAGTTACCCTCTTGAAAGATCAAGTGCCATCTGTACAACTACTTTGAAAGCTAGCTTCCTTCTCCGGTTCTTTATTAGGTAAGATTTCAAGGCACCCCCCGGAAGATATTCCACAACAACACAACAGATATTATTTGGCATGCCAATTTGACCGTTTTCCGTTTGTATGTTCAGCCCTGAAGAGCCCATTGTTGCCCCTATAAACTGCAAATGGGATTAGGCAGAAATTGTTAGTACCTGTATCCCAGAACTATAGAAAAAAGAGTAGTTTCGCATTTATTAATATCACTGAAGACATTGTTGAAATCCTTTTACAATAAGGTTTTATTGGAAAGGTGAGAAAACATCAAGAAAGCAAGAAATAATTTTTCGGTTTCCAACCTAGCAACTTAGAATGAATAGGAAAAGGCCTTATAGTAGAAATATTTTAAATTTAAAATGGATCAGTCTACTGGGTATCTAAAAATGGCAATGGCATACAGCATGACAATAACGTATAAGCTAGGTATCATACCAGCATGCAGTGTTTTACGAAGACTGCATTTCTTGGAATTAAATGGCCATATAAATGATGAAGGCTTTATAATGTCCAAGCTGTCGTCTACTTCTTATAGAGATTTGATTAACAGTGTCAACAATCAATTTTCTTTTAAGAAGTGAAAATTATCATGCTTTAACTCCAATTTTTATGCACAGTTTGACAATAAAATAAGGAACTCAGACATATCCTTTGTGCAGCATAAACTCTGAACTTTTCACTATGGAAGTTAGACAGAGTTAATGATATTCAAAACGAAAAATTCAAAGAAAGAGAAGGAATGCAACTGGTCTGTGGAAATCAATGGAAGAGAAGTAACAAGCATGAAATGAAAGTAAGAAGGATACACAAGATGAAAATCATGCTTCCTTAATGCAGAATGAGATGACAAGACTGAATAAAGAACAGAGAGTGAAGCTGATAAAGTGGTAGCTGGAAAGATAACAACCATAAGATATCCCACTATTTTTGAGAAAAGTTCGACCCTTAGAGATGAAGATGCTGATAAGAGGTGAAACCATTATAATCACTGAAAATTTAAGGGCCACCAAGATGACATGAAAGAGAAAGAATTAGCTAAGCACAAAAATAATGAAGTAACAAAAACCAGGCAGAAGTGAATCCTAAAGTCATAATGTACAAACTAAACAATGATGAAGAAGTTTTCTACTGTACGCAAGTGTTTAGGCTTTTTCTACATGAGCATAACTTAAAAGTTTTACAGTAAACAAGCAGCACTGTTAGGTACCCAGAAACAAGCATTGGATGGCTGAGATTCATAGAATTGAATCGAGACCACACATCAATATTTTTGGATAACTTTCTGGACATATTTTCTGATTTTATATATTGTCTGGTAGTCAAACATACTAAAACCATAAAGAAAAGCCTGAAAATCAAATTCCTGCATAAACAAAAACAACTTCAGCATTAATATACCAAATAAATAAGTCATTGAATGATTATCCAGTTTTTTACTGGATCACAAGTTTACATTAACTACCACAATTCAGAAACTCATCATGATTAAGTTGAATCATCAAAAGCATCATCCTAATTGGTATTGTCCCACTCAAACAAACATTCACAGGGAACCCACAAAGTCCTTGTGGACAATTAAAATCCAAAGAGAGGTCAATTAACTATCTTTCCACAAGAATTGTAAGCGTAAGCTTTGTGCACTGGGTACAACTTTTTTAGAAAGACCACTTTACCAAAGAGATCAAACCAAACTCTTGAATATATCTACAAGTAGTCCTCAAAGATTTAAGCTTAGCAGATACCAAGCACCAGAAACAGTCCAAGTTATTGGACTTGCTAAATGATTTAAAATAGCACCTAAGCAACCTAAGAACTATATGGTGTAAAGCTCTTTCCAGAAGGTGTAAAGCAGGGCCTAATTAGGGAAACAGAAACAAAAATCATGTCAAACTTGAAGAATTTACAACCCGCAAAATGATGGATGTACACTACGATGTAAAATATATCAAATGAATAGAAAAGCCCTCCTGTGTTACGAGAAAACCTCATAGAAGTCCAATCAGAGAACTCAAATGAGGGGTAAATTCTTGAAGACACGTAGCATTCAAGAGGACCAAAAAAAAAAAATTCGTACTCATACAGTCGTACCCAAGGTTTTAAAAAGCGGCCGCAACCGTTACGTAACGCTGTTACGTAACAGTTTTGGCGGTTACCGCCACCCGTTACAGCCGCTTTTGCAGTGTTATTGAAATTCACTGGTGTGTCGGCTGTAACAGCTGCCGTAGCGGTCGTAACGGTGCCGTAACAGCCATAACGGCCTGTTACGCACCGTTACGTAACGGTGCCAAATTGTTTCTTTAAAAAAAATACAAAAAAAAAATCTGAAAATGGGGGAAGAGGGATAGAGAGAAGAGGGAAGATAGAAGAGAGAAAACATTATCCAGTTTTTTACTTGATCACAAGTTTACATTAACTACCACAATTCAGAAACTCATCATGATTAAGTTGAATCATCAAAAGCATCATCCTAATTGGTATTGTCCCACTCAAACAAACATTCACAGGGAACCCACAAAGTCCTTGTGGACAATTAAAATCCAAAGAGAGGTCAATTAACTATCTTTCCACAAGAATTGTAAGCGTAAGCTTTGTGCACTGGGTACAACTTTTTTAGAAAGACCACTTTACCAAAGAGATCAAACCAAACTCTTGAATATATCTACAAGTAGTCCTCAAAGATTTAAGCTTAGCAGATACCAAGCACCAGAAACAGTCCAAGTTATTGGACTTGCTAAATGATTTAAAGTAGCACCTAAGCAACCTAAGAACTATATGGTGTAAAGCTCTTTCCAGAAGGTGTAAAGCAGGGCCTAATTAGGGAAACAGAAACAAAAATCATGTCAAACTTGAAGAATTTACAACCCGCAAAATGATGGATGTACACTACGATGTAAAATATATCAAATGAATAGAAAAGCCCTCCTGTGTTTTGCAAAAATTGATCAATATTTATTTCTAACCCAATAAATATGATCATGGAAAAAAAATATGCGTATCAGTAAATTTTTTTCAAATTGTGCGAAAAATAAAAAAATTCACGGTTCCGATTACCGCAACCGTTACACTACGGCTTTACACCCCGCAACCGCAACCGCGTCACCGCCACCGTTACGGCGACCGCAACCGCTTTTCAGAACCTTGGTCGTACCCCTCCCAAAAAATAATAAATAAACAAATAAAGGAAAAGAAGATTAATTACTTTTCTAACATTTTTGTGCAAAATCCTGCAGATGACCCTAAATTTAGGCGGTTATTGCTTTGGAATGTGATACCACCTGAAGCTGAGTCATACAAAAAGAATTACCAACTGAGAGAATCGATTGATTGCAAGCTATATAACACAAGAATTACTCCCACGATCCCATATAAAGAAGCCATATAACACAATTTTATGCCAAAACATTTCAAGAAATGTCACAATGGCTGACTTGCTTTCTAAGTCAGATATAACAAACAACTTGCTTTCAAATGAATAAAACCCATATGTATTTGCCAACAATCTATATATGGAAAAAGCCAAAAGGTCTAAGATTAGAAAGTGACCTTAGTTACATTGGGATGATCAAGCTTATGCCATACTGCAACTTCCTGTGTAAAAGCTGCCCTCAGTGATGCTATTTCAGCGTCTGTCCGGTGCCCCTCTTCTCCCCAGTCTAGCAGCTTAACTGTGAATTAGTAAAGGGATAGAAAACAATAATGATTGTATCAGCAAATGCAATTATTTACAAAAAAAATAACAGTCTAGCAGCTTAACTGTGAATTAGTAAAGGGATAGAAAACAATAATGATTGTATCAGCAAATGCAATTATTTACAAAAAAAATAAAAAACATTTAGACCGATTACAGTTCAAACAGTTGCAAGACGAATTTTGTAAAATAAAAAAAGATTAAAAAAGAAAAAAGAAAAAGGAAAAAAAAAAAAAACGAATGAAGCTGACTTTGTTTGGATAGGAATCAAGATTTTGTGATTATGACGACGACGACACTGACGATGATGATGACGACTAATACCCACAAAAACAGCAACAGCAATTTGTGATCCTAATTTCTAGCTAGTTGCTGACATTAATTAATGTTTTACTTACTTTATATTATTATTATAATTGAACACTAGGATCACATGAAAGTTCAACAATACAGCATCCCCTAAGTTATTGCAGTTATTCAAACCAAACCCGTGCCGGGAGTCACGGATTCCATAAGAGTACATTTAAAGTGGTCATTCAACAACTCCCCTTATGATCATCAATTGGATATCAACTAAACAAGAACCACAACCACCACCATGGAAAGGCATGAGACAATTAAAAATAAATAAATAGAAGATGAAGAAGAAGAAGAAGAAGAAGAAGAAGAAAAGTGGCAATAATTAATTTAAAAATTGAATCTGGCTGACTTAACTAAGTAAAGGTATGAGAAAAGTAAAGATAACAGTCACAAAAAGGCCCACCAAATCCAAGAGTGAACCGACCAAATCAAAGTACACCTCAATAAAATTGCTATTTAGCAATTTGGGAATTATGAACTCAATGCCCATTAATAACAGCCTTATTTGTGCAAACAAGATTAATTCACTCATAAAAACCAACTGGCTACTATCTTTTAAAAAAAAATTAAAAATTAAAAATTAAAAAACTGGGTATTATTGAAAACAGAAATGGGTATTCAGAACTGAGTTTGATTTGAATCACCCAAAAAATAAAAAAAAAAATAAAAAAACAAATGATTAACAAATTAACTAGTATAATTTTTGGCAAAAGGGACAAAAATTGGGGCAGAGTTGAAGAGTTGGGAGACTGACCGGCGACATCTTGGCCGTCGTAGACGCCGCGGTGGACAGTGCCGAAAGTGCCACGAGCGAGGACGCCCTTGATGATGAGCTTGGAGGGATCGATCTCCCACTCCTGTCTCTGCCTCGTGGCGGCTTCGGCGGTGGTGGAGTCGGAGTCTGGTTGCTTCTTCTTGTTCTTCTCCATAGTCCATGCTCGGCTGAGATGCTTCTCCAGTTGCTCGTCCAAGCTCTTAAGATCAATCTGATCTGCTCTCACAAAACCATCACTGCTCTTCTCCATCTTCTCTCGCTCTCTCTCAAGATTGAGACACTTCACTTGAGTCTGCTATATCAGTAACTGAAATGAGTGATTTTACTTTTGCGTTTGCTTTTGCTTTTGGTTTTTGGTTTTTTATACTTGTGTGTGTATTTTGATTCTAAGAAGTCTTATTTTTCAACAATCTCTGTTCTTTGGGGGGGAGAGAGAGACAGAACTCTGTTGAGTAGGCTCTCTATAACCAGCGCCATGTGGGCACATGGAATTGCCTCGTATATAACGTGTTCTTCTGACCCACTTCGGCCTCCCCCTCCCACCAGAGTCAAATTTTTCTAAAGTTTCCTAAAATGCTACATTGTGTGGATGAGATTTATTGACAAGTCACATCAGAAAAATTGATGTGATTTGTCAGTAAATCTCAACCACACAATGTAGTACTCTAGGAAACTTTAGAAAAAAATCACTCTAGAGCATCCTTGCTCTCCCCCTCCTATCCAACAAAGGGCTTTTTGGGAAGTAAATTATTTTTTAACTTTTTAATGTATTTTAAATTATATTATTTTTCATATTTTTTATATATTTTTTAAAAAAAATCAAAAAATAAGTTATAAAAAAAAAAAGAAGTTAACTTTTAATCATTTTTTCAAAACAACCCAAAAATAAAATACATCAATATAAATAAATAATATTTATCACAAAAAAAATGGGTGATAAATTCAATCTAAAAGTTGTATAAGACATTAGGTTGACCGAATATTTTTTTGGGTGATCGGTAGATATTTTTGTTCGTGAAAGATCCACTCTTTGTAAAATAGTTTAGTGAGAAATCATTTTATTTGTTTTGAACGGCATTTTGTTTCTAATTTTACCTCTTAATTTATCTGTTCACTTTTTTTATATATTGTTTTTTTAACTATTTATTCAAATTTATTTCTATCTGTTCATATTTTTTTGTCCATCTATTGAAATTTTCTCTTTATTTGTTCAAATATCTGTCTAAATTTTATTATTTGCTCAATTTTTTCTCTGAATTTTATCTGTCAAAATTCCACCTATTCAATTTTTTTTTTAATTTTTTCTATTTGTTGAAATACTAAGCCAAACAAAACACTATCTGTTTAATATTTTTTATTTGCTTAAGTTTTTTAATCTATTGTTGCAAATATATGTTTCATCAATAACAACAAATAATAGAAAAAAAAAATTCTGAAAATATGAGGGAAAATGTTTTTGGGGATGTGATCTGATCTTAGACACAACAACAAATAATAGGAAAAAAATTTTGAACAACAACAAATAATAGAAAAAAAAAATCTGAAAATATGGATGTGTCTAGAGATACGATCTAATCTCGTATCCTTTATGTTTGGGGACTTTTCGTAGAGAGAGAGAGAGAGAGAGAGAGAGAGAGAAAAGGGCCTCCGATGGTGTTGTTGTTGTAGCAAATCCTGAAACCCCAATGTAAAGCTCAAACATTAGGAATTAAACTCAAACATAAAGCTCTTTTAGGAATTTATATATTAAGAATTCCAAAGATACAAAAATTAAACATAAGATTGATTTTTCAAAAGTAGAAGAACTACAAAGAATTGAAGATTTATGATGTTGAAGAAGGGCTTACTAGAGATACCGATGTCATAGCCACAAATCAGCCACCTCAGACAGTGACGTAGTGGTGGAGCTGCTGTTAGGGGATTCCAGCCCTTTCGACGCCATTGATCTGAATCTAGATCTATATCCAAGCAGCGATGGCACCAACGTGGCAAAGAAGAGAGAGAGAGAGAGAGAGAGAGAGAGAGAGAGAGAGAGTTATGGCCGGAGTGGAGACGGCGAGGCGATAGCAAGACGGTGACGGCAAGGAGTGTAACACTCTAGAATTTCTTTTCCTCTTCGTTCGATCGTCGGATTGTGTACTTGAGCGGTCCTGGTGAACTTCCAACACTTTTGTAGGTATGTAGAGATACGGGGAGATGACATTCTTTGCTCAAACGGTATTCCTTGCGCTCGAGTGGTCACTTTGTGTGCTCGAGCGGTCCCACTTATTGTGTCTGGTCGCTCGAGCGATACTTTTTGTGCTCAAGTGGTCTGTTCCAGATCAGTCATTATAAAACCCACTTTTTGCTCACTCTCTCTCACTCTTCTCCCTTCCGTCTCTCTCACTCCTTCATAATCGAAAACCCTAGCCCTCAAACCTTTGATTTCACCTCATTACACTAAGGATCCACCTTAGGTCATGCAAGACTATTGAAGGAGGAGTGAAGATCTTTCCTTAACCGATTAGATTGCAATTTCTCCAAAGTTTTTTCTTGGGTCTTTCTTGTTAGCTTTCATCCTTGAGGTTTGGAGTTCTTTTAACTCAATCATTTACAATTTCGTTTGATTTGTGATGTATTATGGGAAGTATGAGTTGATTTGAGTTTGAAATATTTGATTCAAAGATGTTTATATATAAAAATTGGGGTTTCCACCCAAATTTTTTAAAGATTTAGAATGTCTTGGTATATTAACGTATAATACTTGATGATTTGAGGATTTAACAAAGAGATGGGGAAAACTCCCAATTTTTTTACTGAAAACCCTAGAATTGGGATTTTTTTAAAGAGGGTTTGAGCTAATTGGTACTTTTGTTGAAAATTTAATTGATTTTACATGTCGATGAGTGTGTTGGATAAAATCATTATCTATGATGATATTATTAGAGATTTAAATTAGTTGAATTGGGTGAATATTTGAAATGTTAGGATGGTGTACGATAACGTTTTGCATGGGAAGATGGTGGGTAAAGTGTAGAACTTGGAGACTGGAAATTGAGAATAGTTCGTTAGTTTTTATTTATTGAAGTATTATGTAATTAATAGAAATTTCGAGATAAAGAGAAAGGTTTGGAAACTCATACATTGCATTAAATTTCCATGGTGTTGGTTTAAATATTGGATTATTTAAAGGAATATATGTGGTTGAGGAATGCGTTATGTGTGTTAAGGTGCCCAATTCTCTTCCCGTGCTCAGTGGCCTGAAAATGTAGGGATGTCATTGGCAATTTCGTAAAGTTGCCCAATTGCCCTTCAGTGCTCAATGGCTGGTAAATGTGGGAGAAATGTTGAAATGATTAATGGGTGTCTAATTGCTCCTCCGTGCTCGGTGGCCGGAAAATGTGGAGATGTTTTTAAAATGAAACGGGTGTCCAATTGCCCCTCCTTGCTAGGTGGCCGGTAAATGTGGAGGTTTTCAAAAAGTAAAAGGTGTCCGCTTACCCTACTGTGCTTGGCGGCTAGTAAGTGTAAGGAGTATTTTGAGGTAAGGAGTTTGTTACAAAAATGAAAGTTCTTGGTTATGATAATGGATAATGAGTTGACTCAACATGGGTTATAAATCATTTATTTCAGAATTCAGTTTCCAAACAGAGTTAAGACGTAAACGTGACATGACATTGCATAGCATAATCATATTGATCATATGCATATTAATCATATTTGGATTTGTTATGTTTACTTCCTACTGGGCATAAAAGCTCACTCTCTTTTTATGGGCTAGACATCCTAAAATTCCAGGTGATGAAGGTGGACCTTGTTATTGTTGAAAAGTGGATGGAGTTCACCATAGAGCACTGAAGCTTCTTTGATGTAGCTTGCCTACAGCTATCGAGCTTATTTGTCGAGTTAGGCTCGTATTTGTTGAAATCAAGGCCTTTAGTCTTGAAAGGTCTAAGCCTTTATGGCAAATTTGATGTACATTTTATATTATAGTGTGTTGTAAATTATTACAAGAATACATAAGAATCTGACAGGTTCAGTTTATTGAATTGTTATTGTTTATTTATTGTTCATATGAATGTCATGAAACTGGACAATATTAATGGTTTGGTAACAAATTATATGGCATAAATATCAGGGTATTACAACTTGGTATCAGAGCTCACCAGGTTTGAATACCTTGGGCTCGTGGGAAGGACGTTTGTCACATTGGGTTACTAGTTTAGAATGGGACATTTTAGTGCTTACTCTGATTTGTGTTTGCTGATGTGATTATGTGGGTATGAGATTAAACTCTTGAGATGAAGTTTGTGCCTTTGAATTCTTAGGAGTCTTGTTAGGAGGCCACCTGATCAATGCCATTCTAACTCGAATTCTTTGAATGTTGTGCGGAAAATTGGCATCTTAGGAGGATAATTCGTATGTGCTTTATGTAAATATGAGTCTATGTTGTTTGTCATCATAAGAATTGTTATGTGTATAGACATGCGTAAACATTTTGGGTAGCATGTGGGGTTTTGATTAGGTTAATTTGTGATCGAAGTTTGTCCTTATTCTTATATAGGATGTCTAGACATAGTGATAGAAGCCGTAGTAGACCTCGTCATGGTGGTCGAGGTGTTTCCCTTCCAGGGAAAGGAGCAGGCCAAACTGGCATGGTCGAACAAGAGGTGCAGGTTGTTATGGGCTTGTTGGATAGAGAGTTGGGGTGTGCACTTTGGGAATCTATGAATATTTTTAGAGTTGAAGAAATGGCATGGGCCGCCGTAGGAGAGACTAGGGCCTCTTCCTTGGCTAAAAAGTTCTTTAAATCTAAACCTATGGTGTTTTATGGTGGTGCTAACCCACTTCTAGCGGATGAGTGGCATGAATAGACGGTGAAGGCGTTTGAGGTGTTTCATATCGTAGATGATGAATTTCGGGTCATGTCAGGGTATTTTCAATTAAAAGAAGATGCAGGTCAATGGTAGAAATATACCAAAGACCTACACACATGGGAGACATTAACTCATGCTTTCCAAGAGAAATATCTTCCACCCACAGCTAGAGAGCGTTTGAGAAAACAATTTGAAGAGCTCAAATAGCTCGACACAATCATAGCAGAGTTTGAGGCCGCTTTTACTAGCTTGTCTAGGTTTGCACCAGAGTTAGTAGCGACCGGGAAGTGCCGTTGTTTGGAATTTGAGAAGAGACTTAGGTAGTTAATTAAGATGAAAGTGGTTAGTAGTATGATTCTGAGTTATGATAAACTCGTGGAAGTAGCCACACATGTGGAAATCACCGTGGAAGAGGGAAAGAAAGAGAGGGGTAAGAGGCAAGGGGGACAAGAGTCACAGAGTGACCCAGGGACGTCCAAGAAGTCTAAGGATAACATTAGCACACCTTTGCAATCACAGCAGACCGAACCTCAAGGTTTGGTAATGAGGATAAGTTTATGAAGTACGAGTCAGAATAAGATGACTTGTTTTCGTTGTGGTCTACAGGGTCACAAAGCTTCAGC